ACAGTATCTATATAGGCGAAGTTATAGTTGTGACTAAAATTACCATAATAACAATAATTATAATGATAATAATAAAATAATAATAAAAATTCAAATAAATATAAGAATAAGAATAATCCAGTTATGGAACATGCTTGCTCATTCACTTTTTCATCTAACTCATTTATTCCCTCATTCGGAGGAATAAACAAATTAGAAAGTTCATTTGTTATTAAACAAAGTATAAACTCTTTCAAGATTTTTTCCATAAGAATGCTTGAGCATCAATTTTCTAAGTTTTTTGCATTTGGATTCTATAATGCAAAATAACACAAAATCCAGCGGTAAAACTTGGAAAATTTGTGTATAATAATTGTAATGGAAAAAATCTCAAGAGAAAAATTCGAACAGAAATTCACAATATATTGACTTTTTTCCATCAAATACGCAATAGAATCAGCGCAAAAAAACAAGTAGAATTGTTCAATAAAATACCAATAGGAATTCTATAGAATTTCAATAGAATTTTCCAGCCAATTCGCTGGGTTTTTTATTGAATTTATTTATATGTGGTCACCTCTGATACGTGGAGAGTTGTAGGCACCCATACGGCCTTCCGAGCCAAACAAATGGACAGAATATTCTCGAAGAAGAAAAACCTTAAAACAAAAAAGTTGCGTAGAAAGATAATAAATTAACACTCATAATTTGTCGTCAAGATTTGGTATTTTCAACATACCTTATACTATGGGTGCATGCGCCACTCCACACGTTAGAAGTGACATGACCGCCCAATTGTTTTGAATTACTATATCTTCCGCTAAAATTTCCAAACATCAAAATTCACGTTGTTCATCAATTTTCGAAAACATTGTTCGTTTAAAATTTTTTTGGATATCCATGAAAATGGTGACGAAAAACCCATTTAAATAATTGAATTGTTGATAGCTATGAAGTGAATAACTGTATTGCGGGCTAAGTGACAAATTCAATTTCAGCACATCAAAAAATATAAAATAAGCAAGTCTCAAATGTTCACATGAATTTCATAACTTTTGCTGTCAGCGTATCGACTAATGGTGTAGGGGTCGGAGATAGGAACACATATTAAGGTATTTCCTCAGTGAGTTATACTTGGTAAAAATTTTGCAATGAACTGAAGACCTAAAATTTCCATCATATGTTGTTGAGGACATGTAAAAACAACTCCCAAAAATTTCAAGAATTTTTTTCACGCGAATTTTTGAGATATCCATTGTCAAACATTCAATTTTTGTCTTTTTTGTTTTTGTTTTAAGTTTTTGTCGATGCATATCTCAAAAATTCGCGTGGAAAAAATACTTGAAATTTTGGGAATCATTTTCACATGTGTTCAACAACACATGATCCAAATTTTAGGTCTTCAGTTCATTGCGAAATTTTCACCAAGTATAACTCACTGAGGATACTTCCTTAAGGTATAGCTTAAAATAATACCATCCAAAAATTAGTCCCTGCATTACTGTATTACTGCATGCAGGTAACTATAACCGTTTGAATACAATAAGAAATTATTTGTTAATTATTTGTTTGAATCAAATAAGAAATAGTTTCATGAAATTCCCATTTTTAGAGTTGAATATCGCAGAAAAAACCTAGTACAAAATTTGACAAAAGATTCACCATATTCGAAATTCATCAATCTATCACGGATTAGTTTTTTAAAAATATCGGAAGAACCTTTTTCTCATAAGATGGAAAAATCGAATTCGAGGGGACCCATAACCCCCGTTTGGCCTGTGCCTTGCCTTTTAGAAGCCCGTATTTCATTATTTATTGTCTCCTAAACTGTGTGGTACAGCGGGTTAGATTGGGTTCAACAGCTGGGGACTATTATAAACATTATCTAGGAAAAACATGGGGACAGTCTTAAGAAAAATGTGTTTTCCAGGGATATACCTTAAGAGGGAGAACTCATCGAAAAGGTTGGCTGACCATTTCAGCCCTCAATTCGCGATCTCAACGTAGATGTGGGAGCCATCAAGTGGTCTCTACACTAACTACTCTTGGCGGGCAACCAATGAGATCACTGGTTTCTCCTTGATCTCATTGGTTGAGCTCCACGCCTGGTTGCCTTCTAGGGAGTCCCTTGATTGTCCCCCAAGAGTAGTTACTTTAGAAACCACTTGGTGGCTCCCACATCTACTTTGCGATCTCGAATAGATCAGTTAGAGCCTCTCGCCCTCGATCCTACTCCCGTTTCTGATGTTGAAATTGAATTGTTATGAAAATAATTTTGATTGTAACCATGAACTTCAATTGAAATCCTAATAAATTTATTAAAAATGGTCCCACAGTGTTCATGCTACTGTAAGTTTAGTCTGGCGCCCGCGTCATTGGTCACTTCACTAATTAATAACTCGTTAATTATGACCAAGAGCCCAATATTATAAAGGAACTTTAGTTTAAAACTTCACGCTCTTCCATCCCATGAAATTTTCATCGTAAGTTTTAAGGCCCCCGTATTTAAATCACATTTATGGTAATCTTCGTAATGGTTCAATTGGATTTCCCCCCTCAAGTAAGGCGTCTATACCACATGTGGACGCGAGAGCTTGTCCTACCGGCCCGCGTCCATATGTCATATTGACTCTTTCCGTGATTAATAAAAATTCATTATCTTTCGTACTATTTCGAAATTCTAAAAATTACCTGCACATAAAGCTTTGACTCATCTATAATTTTTTAAAATTAAATACTATAACTATCTCAATATAAAATGACGGTAAACGGATATACCGTCATGCGGTACCGCATATACCATGAACTCGATTTTGTAGAAAATTTAATTTACTGCAAAAATATTCTTCTGATATACTAAACCAAATAGTTCCGATATGGTTTTCACAATAATTGATATGAAAGTCTTGAACCCATTCTCCATTGATTCCCAAATCAGTTCCGTTAACACTCCGTTGGTCGCACTATGAGTGCCGCGGCGCACTTTTTTCGATTTTTTAAATTACACAGCAATAAAGCCTCCGAAAAATTTGAAAAAATTGACATCTCATTTTGAAGTGTCTAAAAGCCCTATCAATGAAAATATGATAAGTAGTTAGGTTTTCACATTTTTATTCCGATACTCCGGGCCGTACTGCGTACTAGACGTATTTTCAGAAAAATGTGGCAACTTTCAGCTTGAATCTCACGGGACTTCTTCAAGTATACGATCTGGATCACTTTTGATTTTTTTTCAGGGTTGTCGTAGATCTTTCAAATTTATCATTATATCGATTTATGTTGCAATTTATTATTATTATGATAATTTATATTTATGGCGCGAGCAACGGCGTTCATAACTTTTGCGCGACCAACTGAGTGATCAACTATTTTAGTTGAAAATTCATAACATCTCTCGAAATAAAAGGATTTTAAATTCTCTAATCATGGCACCTTTATCATTATTCAGTGGCAACCGATGCAAGCAGATATTAGGATATTAGAGAGTAGGGCAAGACGGACCGCAGGGCAAAACGAACCACTGACAGGAAATTGATTGTTTTTTTTTTTATAGTTTTTGCTTCCGAATAGAAACTATAACAAACAAGTGGGTCATTGCATTATTTCCAATTTAACGTAGTTCTCTTTGCTAATAAATTAGCAATTTGCTTCCGGATGGACCTGTAAATAGGATCATTCTATTCAATGGATATTCTGATCAACGGAGAAATTATTTCAAGGTTAAAATTTATGATGTGGAAGTAATGGCTCATTTATGGCGTTCTCCGACTCAAGTTAGTGAAAATGTTAGTGAAAATGGAAAGCAATGAAACAAACTATATAATAATTGTTAACATCATTAAACAGTTCATACATATAAGAAATGCTGTGCCTATGATGCCAACTCGATATGAACATTGGATGGAAAACAATTTTGTTGGTAATCCTCCAATTATATTTGAATGGCATGTATATGGAGGAGAACAGATCAGTTTTCTCGGACCATCTCCGACCGTAAGATGTATAGTTGAATCAGAGGATGAATAATTGGAATTAACGAACGCAGCACTAAGGACAACAATAGAGTACCAACAACATATAAACCATCAACAATATTTGGTTATTTTCTTCGATTTTTTCCTTTCAATTTTATCTTCTAATAGTCACACGGGGGGTTGAGCGAGCGAAGCGAACAGGGAGCGAAGCTAACTGAAGCTGAGCTATCGGCGAAAAATTGATTTTCAAAACCTCAGAGTGCAAAACTTCAAGTCTCCAAAACTTGAAGGGATTAAGTTCCGATTAAAGTCCCACTAAGCCTTGATTAAGCCCCGACTAAGTCCCGATTAAATCCTAACTAAATGCCGATTAAATCCCAACCAAGCCGTCATTATACTCCAATCAAGCCCCAATACTGATGATTTTTTTGCGATTTATTTGACGCTATAACTGAATAATTCAAGAACGAATTATGCTGATCCCATGCTATTCGAATTCGGTGAAGAGGGCATTGAAAGGAATATTTTAATGCGTTATTGAATCTATTAAAATGGTAAATTTTTGAGCCATCGTTGAAAAATCGATTTTCAAAAAAATATCAATCTTTAAAAAACGACATTATGGATCAAGTTTCAATTGGTGTTATTAAATAGCGCTTATGAATGTGTACATTTAGTTAAAAAAAAAAAAAAGGAATTCGATACATTTGTCATGGGGAAATCGTCGATGAAACCTTTTGAGGGACCGATCACATACATACATACATACATACATACATACATACATACGGACATGGTCTAGAAATCACATTTTTCGACTAATTAGACCATATTTAGTCACCCTCACAAAAAAAATTGGAAACTTAAATTTTGACGATTACAATGCTTCCGGAAGCAAAAAATTCAAAGTCATTTGTGGTTTGAGGTGATTAGCAAATCTCACCAAATTGTGGCTCGACGACACTTGTTATCTATAAAACCCCTGTGACGGTTGATCCGGAAACTCACTTTTAATTCAACACATTCAGTGTTTCTGATTTGAAAAAAAGAAAAAAAAAGAAAAATTTCAATTTTTTGTCAGCAGTTCATTTTGCCCTACCCTCTCCTATTTTTAATAGTCCATGCACAATACCCCTTTCCCGTGTGCACTACAAGGGCGGAAGAACTTCAAGGTTTTTCTTCCAATTTTTATATTGAGAAAATCGGCTTTGTTGGGATTTTCCATTTGCAAACGAAAGTTATGAACAATTCAGTTGTTTGAGCGGCCCTCACTCGGTGATTATCAGATAAAATAAGAAATAGGTTGAATGAAAAGTATTCATTCATAATAATTTAAGTCAAAAATGAGTGAAATACACAGCTTCATATCGATCATGTCGAAACTCACTCGTCTATCACTCACTTCAGCGTATCATTGGTGCGATAGATCTTTGAGAAGACGTCAATTCATTTGCTCTGTTATACACTCGTGTTATTTCTACGCAGTGGAATTTTTGCCGTGTTCCAAAGATCTGTCACCGTAGGCAGTTTCATAATGTTATGTCAATTAAATTTTGATGATTCTGGAAATCACCACCCGGTGTGGATGGTATTTCAGTAATAGGAGTGGGAGGATCAGCGTCCGTGCTTGTCATGTGCTCGGTTGTGCCTGAAAAACAGAATGCATCAATGGGCATCATTACATCTAAGTAGCAAAACGTGAAAAGAACGCAAGTTTTTTCATGTTATTGTCTATTTAAGGATATTCAAGTACCTTGGCTATTTTATCTTCAGTGAAATGCTTTTCTGTTTAAGCCCCACTCAACTCTAAAGTTCCGGGCATTTGACAATGATTTTATTATTTAAACTTTGCAGGTCTAAATTTGAATCTCGATATTGAACCGCTAGAAAATATTTTAAAAATCTGAAAAAACTAATTAGAAAGTTGGCTTTTGAAGGAATATTGTTGAAAAAAATTTAGAAATTGCAATTTTTGAAAATTCCGACCATTCTCTATAAATAATTTATAAACAATCCATTTTCTACCATAAAAATCATTTGTTGGGAGTTGCAATAAATTCATTCATATTCAGAATTATAGCAGAAATCCATGTTATGCTTAAAAAAATAAAATTTCCGAAAGTTTAACACTCCGTTGGTCCCGCCGTAAGCGTCGCGCCGTGCTAGCATAAATCGACATAATGATAAATTTGAAAGATCTACAATCAAATTTTTCTGAGGCTTTACTGCAGTATAATTTAAAAAATCGGAAAAAGTGCGGTGCGGCGCTCATAGCGCGACCAACGGAGTATTAATATAGTTGTTATTCAATCATCTGGGAGAATTGAACATTTGAAAAACAAATTATTGGAGTCAATTCAATGACATAAACATGACCATGTAACATGGTAAACATTACCATGGGACATAGCAAGGATTACTATGTTGGAACACTTGAAAACCCTTTTATTACGTTACCATAATAAGCTTTACTATGGCCATCGTAATGTTTACTATTTAATTCTCTCTGTGTAGATGCGATAAAGTAGGCCATTTTCATGTGAACGTACGTATATGTTTACATTTATATTAGGGGAAGGCAGGGCACAGTGGAACGTTTTGTCATCTTCTGCAAATTCCGATATCTTCATTTATAAACAAAGATGTTGATAATTGGAGAATATCACGAAACGTTCAACTTTATTCCGCCCTCCCTCACATAATAGTTGTCTTGAGAAAAATTTGAAATGTGATGCAAGTCCAAACTTCATCAATCAATCGCTCATTGAATAGTAAAATCTGTAATATTGTCCAATTTTGATCATTTCTATTTGATAATGATCATTTTATTGTTGAATCATAGATGCATGTAACACATGCCTAGATACGCAATGACAGGAAAACAAATTTGTTCATGAAAATAAATTATTACATTGTATATTAGAACTGTATGAATTTTCTCAACTCACAAGTGAAAGAACTCCCACGACTTCTTGGAGGCCAGCATAATTTGCAGAGTGGTTTCATTAATCGGAATCTGGGTCTGGGCATTCGCAGCAATACGTAGATATAAGGGTCCAGCGTAAAATGAGTGCAGAGCAGAATATCTGCTACGATGTGAAAAATTCTAATCAACTTCCTCGCGAGAACAGCGGACTGCGGTAACTTGAGAGATAACTGTGCCAATGGAATTCCTATCTGGAAAATAGAACATGAATTTCAAAAACAACTACAGTAGCTAGCATACGATTCACTGTGGAGCTATCTGTGAATAATTCTGCTTATGAATTTTCGTTATTCTACCAAAATTCATGGAGGGAATTTTACCGTAAAACCCATTGTGCCGAGTCGAAGTCAAACAGACGATTTCAAGCATACGACTGTAGATATTGTTACGTATTTGCTCTGTTCCTCCCGCTCAACCACCTTCATGTACGATCGTCTCTTTTTTTCTCGATATTCTTTTCTCTTCGTTGCTAGTCCGCGGACGCGTCATTACATTTTGTATCTCTTTGTGTTCCAAAATCTTTAATAAACAGTTATTTTTTTATTAAATGTACCCATTTCTTTACATTGGCCTCTATTCCGTTGATGTTGGACATGCTGGATTCCCCATGCGGTCGCTAATCTTGGAGTTGAGATTCCTCTCGAAAGACGTATCCATTTGGACGCGACCATGGTTCATTTTTCAAAATTAAGTCACGTACTTCTGACACCAATATAAAGAATGGGTACATTTAGTAAATAAATAACTGTTTGTTAAAGATTTTGGGACAAAAAGAGATACAAAAAGGAATGATGCGTCCGCGGACTAGCAACGAAGATAAAAGAATATCGAGAAAGATAGAGACGATCGTACATGAAGCTTGTTGAGAGGGAGGAAAAGGGCACACACGCAACAATATTTTACTGACCGATGCATTAATGCTCATTTTGTCATTAATACATTAGGTGGGAGGCTTCCAAATAGTTCTGTTTTGTTCGCTTATATTGATACCATCAACATAGAAGACAAGAATCACCGAACTAATTATTCAAATATCTATACTGAAAGCTCATGAATTTCTTTGAATTCTACCTACAACTTGAAGGTTCACAACCATTTTTCCTTTAAATCGGATTCAATGTCACTCTCATGAGAATTACTATGATATTTTTCATGAAATTTCAAAAAAAATTTTGACAGTGTTTAGAAAGCTAGAAACGGATTTTTTTATCCTGTGATGATTGTTTTTTGCCATAACGGCCGTAGGCAGGGTTTCACGGACGTGTAGCATCCGTGAAGCTCTGCCTTACGACTGGAATGAAAAAAGAACAAATTTGAAGTCACAATTATACCTTATTTCAATGGTATTTGGGGGATGTATGTTTTTACCCCATGACAGACGGAATCATTACGTTTGTAAGTAAGACTCCATCATGTGAGGGACTTTACTACATTTAGAAGCATTTGCTTCCAATGATAGCTGAATTATGATATTGAAAAATGTATCACACTTTCCAGTTTCCAACAGAGAAAAACTTTCCACACTGTAAAAATTGTTTATATGAACATATCAATTCTTCTCAATGCGTCACTCATTCTTAATTCATTGATCACATCCGTTCAAAATTTATTTATGTCTCGTGCCACCATCACTCGCGATTGAAAACAATTCGCGGTTACGTGACTGAATTTCTGAATGTCATCACAATATCAATTGCAAATCGAAAATAAGTTAGCGTATAATAAGTATGACGGAAGTGTTATAACAGAATCTTAATACTTCAATTCGTACTGGTCGCAGCAGACAAATCGATTGTTCAGTGCAGTTTTAATACTTTAATAATTGAGTAAAGATGACTTGCATTACCATTTGAGGCATCCAGCAAATAACGAAGGATATTGACAGTACTGCCATGAGTTTTGCGAATGCACGTTCCTCGGGAGTCAAACCAATTTCGGTGGATGGAATATTTTCTGCTGCTAACAATGGTTTAATGCGAGTGGATGCCTTTAAGGTTCTCCTCAGTACTCCCACTCGATTTCCGAGTCTGCGGAGTGCTAGGGAGACTGCTAAGTTGCACCAGACAATTGAGATGCAGAGGAACGTACCTGTTATGAAGGTAAATTGATCATTTGATTAGATATTGAGGGAAACTTATCATGTGAAACTTCATGAGGCGAAAATGGCCTTTTTTGCATTAGACAATTGCCTCGGAAAAGAATTGTTCGTATAAAAAAGGATGTATTTTTCGCGTAAAACTCTCCAAACACTCGTGAAAAAGTGATGAATGGCTTTCGTCACTCAGTCCGTGAAGTGTTGCTCACGGACGTGAATCATCGCTCACGGATTGAATGACAACAAATATCGTTCGATACACGGACGTGAAGAACTTGTCTGTCTCGTATAATTACAGAACTCACCTTCGGCTTGTCCGGTAAACTTATATTCGCCAGAGAAGTTCCTCACGGCCTACCCGAGTAGAAATTTCGTTGGTTTATCATCAGTTACCTATCAGTTACAACCGACATGGTCACCGGTTCCACATAGGTTTCAACGTACAAGAACTCACGGAATACGGAAACGTCACGCAGTTACCTCACAGGTTACACGTAGGTTGTAACCCATCAAAAATCCGCATGATTATTTATTCATCTAATTATTATAAACAATTTGTGAATGATGAATAACTCATTAAGGGGTCTCCTCAGTAATATTTTAGGGCATAGAGTGGGGGTAAAAATCAAAGACGCCGACAGTCAGCTGCAACTTCTAGAAAAAAAAATGAGATGAAAAATCTTCGCATCCTTTGATACAAACTATCCAACATCAATTATTTTTACTTTATTAGAGATAATAACTTCCTCAGAAAATGATTTTTTAGATTGAAAACCTTCCTATAATTATAAAAATTGAAATAAATTAGCGATGTCAACTTGGCCACAGCGCAATTTAGTTTCAAGGGGTTGGTACTGATTCGGTCGATAAAAACATATTGGGGACGCTTAATAACAAGACGCCCTCTATGAATGTCTGCGTTAAGGGTGCACATCTACGATACCCAAGCAAATGGGGGCTTGTGTGAGCGCGTGTGTGTATACCTCTTTGACGGCCATATTGGCAAAAAACAGCGCCCTCAACGATATTTCCTGTTCCCAATACTTCCTGAGTATCACCGTGTCATGTGGCTATGTGCTAATGGAGTAGAGGTTATATCAGCTCATCGTAAACAACAACAAATATTCGTTTTCCAATAATTGATAACAGCGCTCAATAGTTAATTGTGACAATGGAAAATTCAGAGGGAACCAGGGTCAGATATAAAGGAAAATTCATCAAGAAAAACCGTTTAAATCAGCTGTTTAAATCGGCAAGAATAATAAAGGCAGAACAGTTCAAGTGGTTCAGCCGATCCACGACGAAGAAAACGGAGATGTGCCAGTGAAAAAAGAAAATTACAAAATGAAGGAGTAGGAGGAAACCCACAAGATGAAGAAGAGCAGAACAGTCCTGATGAGTGGTTTGAATCTGCTGATAATGATCCAGGAGAATCAGTGTCCCCAGAGCCATTTACTGGCAATCGCATTGTGGATTTGAAGTTATTGGGCGAGGCTCTCGTATATGAAGCATGCAATCATCCTCTGTCTTTGAAGGATATTCAGGCAGAGAGAAGAAGTCTGGGTTCATATTTATTTATCAAATGTTGGGAATGTTTGAAGATACGGAGGGTGCCTACCAGCAAATGCCTACCAGACCGAGAAGATGGCAAAAAAGAGAATTTCGAGATAAATTTTCAAGCTGTTCTAGGTAAATATAAAAAATTCTTGTTCTTCGCTGCTGGTATTAATAATAATAATCGCTGTTGGTATTAATAGATTGTTAAATTTTAGAGGTTGTATTCATTCTGGAATTGAAAACCAATCAATCAATAAACTATTGGCACTCATGAGCATCCCCCCTTCTATTATAACGCCTTCCAGTTCTACGAGAAAAAAGTAGGCCCAGTTATCGAGACTATTGCTAGAGAGAGAGCTGCGACAGAGCGACAAAAATTGGAAGGGAGTTAACAATAGCGAATAAGAATGATATTGAAAAGATGGTGTGAGTATTTTTCGAGAGGAACTCCTGTGTCTATTTTTCGGCAATTCAGAGTGAAAACACCCATCAGTGAGGATGGTTTTCGCCGAAAGTTTGCAATTGAAAAACAAATTTCCATTTATTTCTACAAAAGAAAATATTTTCAAGAAAGAATTTCTACATACATTCATTTTATCTGAAATGAACTTTTTTTTATGAGTTTGTCTCAATCAATCGAATTTATCTTGAAATATTCTCTATTTTTTAAAAAATACTCTAGTGAACCTTTTTTTATACTCTATTGAGTCTTTGTTCTTTTTTTTTAATTGGAAAATCGGCGAGTTTTCTCCCAGAATCATTTTTGTAGTAGGTTGTAGTAGGTTTTTGTAGTAGGTTTTGTTGTAGTCTACAAGGCTATAAAATCAAAAATAAAGAGAAGGAATTTCGACGTGGTGACTCGGAATTATCGACATTGGCTAGTCCATGGATGAGCATTTCCGTAGATAAAGCTCACTTATGATGTTCTTATGATGTTTATATGTTGAGACAGTTTGCATGCAACGTTTTTACGTTGGCGGATTTCCTACTTCAACTCACCACTGTACCTGATGCTCTAAAGAAATATTGTAACGCGAAGGAAACGAGACTGAAATTGGACAGCCTTTCAGAACTATCAGGAATTGTTTCCACGCCTTTGAGAAAAAAATGGCTGAGGGGGGTATTGGCTTGGATGATTTGAAAAATGCTTTTGTCAGAGGTGGCGAGGATGAAATGTTAAAATTATTGAGGAGTAAAGTCAATTACAACCCTTGGTCATTCAATATTGCAGATTGTTATACAAAAATTGGAGATTACTTGCAGAAGATAACACCAAAATAATTACATCACCAAATATTTTGTTTTATAAGATTGAAAAACTAATGTGATTAAAAAACATCATTCTGTTGAATAAATTCAATTGTTTATTATTCAGAAAATGTCAATTGAGTTTTATTCATCCAAATAACCCGCACTAGAATCTCGCGCATGCGCGTCGAGTGCTCTGCCGCGATGTTGCCCAACATCGTGGCAGAACCGCGACGCGCAGTCTTACCGCCATTTCCACATAACCAAGTATCTATTCCAAAAAATTCTGTGGTTTTTCAATAATAACTAAATAACTAAGAGATAAAACATGATGAAATTTCATGAGTAAAGAGTTGAAACATAAACGGTGAGATAGATGCAGAGTCTGGACGCCCAGCACATTGCCCATCCTAGCTTTTTATCGTTTTGAGGCGGTGTCTATCCACCCTGTGCATAGGCCTTATTTTTTATTTTCTGAGTTTTTTATCCACATGATAAACCTATTCCGGGTTCTGAAAATTAATTTAGAACTACTTGAATATCACACTATCCAATTCTCCACATTGTGGCACATTTCCGAATTTTTATGAAAATTACTGAGACTCCTTAATTGCCACGGAAAAGCAGGCCCAATGATAAGAATCGATTTATATACGTAGAAAAAGAAAAAAAATTCACATTTTCGGTGAGTGGTCACCCATCCAATTCCGAACCGTACTCAATGTTACTTAACTTTAATGATCGTCTGCTGTGCTGAAGTCCAAGTCCACTATCCTGTAATTCTTGGAAATATAACATTCCGATATGCCAGATAAGGCGAGGATTCGTATTCTCTGACGATTGACTTATGATTATTATGCCAAAACCTTAATTCTGACCCTTATGTTTTACCTTTATTTCTGACCATTATTGCTGGCCCTTATTAATGAACCTTATTCCTGACCCTTGAGACCCTCAATTTTGACTTTCCATTCTGACCCTCGTGACCCTTATTTCTGGCGTGTATTTTTGGCTCTCATTTCTGACCCTCGTGACCCTTATTTCTGACGTCTATTGTTTATCCCCCTTTCTGACCCTCGTGACCCTTATTTCACACGTCTATTGTTTATCCCCATTTTTGACCCTCATGACCCTTATTTTTGACATGTATTTTTGACTCTCATTCTGACCCTCATGACCCTTATTTTCGACACTCATTCTTGATCCTTATTCCTGACTCTCGTGACCCTTATTTCTGACGTTTATTTCTGATCCTTATTTTTTACCTTCATTTCTGACTGTTGATTTTGATCCTTATTCAGTGTACTGACGAGTTCTCGACCAGTTATGCCCGGCTAGACTTGGATAATTGAATGCCATTAACACTTTATAAGGGACAAATGAGTTACAAACGGGTTGAGCTATGTGAGTTAGTGATCGGTGGTGAACTCATCTATAACCGACAATAATCGTCCCTACGAGTATTGTTGCGTTTGGAACCTACGGGTTACACGTCAGGTACAACCTACGACTCAGTAACCTGCAACAAACTCATAGGTTCCAAATGCACGTTGGGGGCTCTCGACGAAATTTCTACTCGAGTAGTGTCGAAACATACTAATTCTTCGGCTTGGCAGAAATTTTTCACGAGTTCCAAACAGTGCCACCTATGGCGATATTTGGTTCCACTCTTACAAAAAGCCAATGAGAGATTCTCTCATTAGAGAAGCACTGGCATTTGCCCCTACCACAGTGAGAGGATAGAGTTACCAGGATTAGAAGAAGTCGAAGATTCTTTCATCACGTGCCTCAAGAATGCTAGTGGAATCGGGCGCCTACTTGACGGGTTAAGGAAAACCCTGAATATGACTGTTCCTTATACGCGGGACGAGATAGAGAGTTAAAAATGTAGCACGAAGCTTCTTTCAATGCTCCTGGAAAGTGGCAAAATTTTCAGACGAATCAAAAATTAGATGCTGGATCGCTGGTCGATAACTGGTGGTATATAGGGAAGGTGGGGGCAAAATGGACCGGAAGCTAAATGGCCCACTCAGAAAAAGGGGAAATTTTTTAAATTTTTTTGTGGGAGTTCGGTGAGGGATAAATGGGTTTTGTAAGGTATAACACTCGGAATTGACGTATAAATCGAATTGAATTTATTCACCACAAACGTGGCTTTGTGTTTACACCTTGAGAGCTGGAAGTGTAG